AAATGAAAGGGAAGTTATACAAAATTTAAAGAATCCATTTAATCAACTTTTCAAGAGTTGGTTCCCTTTGTTGGTTTTACGGCGGGATTTTATAATTAACGGGTACCGGTACCCTATCACTATCATATTTTTATTTTATATGGGGTTTTATAATTACCGTACCGTATTACCGGTATATTTTATATCAGTTGATATGCTACCTGGTAGCGGTACCGGAAAAGAGGGTTGGGGTGAAAAGGAATTTTGTCCTGTGTGTCAAACGCCTATGTCTATGTGTTTGATTTTTGTTATGAGTACCGGCACCGTATAGAAAAAAAAATTCAGGGAAAGTGCGCCGATGTATTTATTATTACTAATTACCGGTAATTCTATCCATAACACTACAAGTACACATGTTCTCGTGCGTTTTCAAGTCGATACCACATTTATATTAATTAGAAACAAAGTGGCCCACGACCGCGATAAATGGAAACACCGGAGTGTTGTAAATAAAGCTTTTTTTTGTTAAATAAAACTTAAATTCCGTTGTAAATGAAAGTGCTTCAAAAATAGATTATTTTTTTTAATTAGGTCTACCTGGTGAATCAATCCGGTACCCAAGTCCCCAATTAAAAATGAAACTGTTTTAAATTTAAAATACCGGTACGGATAACGTTTATATATGCGGTATTATTATATACCGGTACCGTAGTTTATTCTGTTAAGTGTTTCTGCCAGCAACCCAACAAGACATCACAGATGACAGAAATCCCTTCGGCAACCCCATTTGAGTTCAAGTCCAATGATTGACTTTTTTGCCTGCAACCCGAGCACTAGTAATAACGTGATTAAATGATCAGAAGGCGTTTTTACTTGTTGTGTTGTTTACTTCCACCTCATAAATCAGCAATGTACCGTTACCGTGGCGTTAGTCAAGTAGACCAATACCTTATTACTATATAGGTCCTACCGTATTACTAGTACTGGTACCGGGGATTAGTATTCCTTATACTAATATTTGTAACTAGCTGGATACACTTAGACTTGTTTAACGATAGTGTTTGATGTGAGAGAAATTAAAGTAGGCCTACTGTACCGGTAGGAAGATGAGCGATATCGGTACCGGTTGGAAAAGGTTCAGTACCGGTACGGTACCGTACCATATTTTAAAACATAAAATTAATTACAATATAAAATTTAATAGTAATATCGTGCAAGGTGGGGGTGGACAAAACATGGAATCAAGTACCGGAAGTACCGGTAACGCATAAGACAAAGTTCAGATCTTTAAACCGACGGTGAAGGCACTGAAGGAAGGTCAAACTGGTGCATTTTTTAATTTATTATTATTATTTTTATTTTTTTTTGGCATACGGTACTTGCATTGTAACTACTTTTTTTTTTATACCAAGGAGCACTAGATCTAAGCATTCAAAGTGGCAAAATAAAAAAATATGGCAACAACAAAGCCCCTCAATTTACCATGTCACCCAAAACACGTTCACTTAGCAAATACAAAAAATAAACCCAAAAACAAACTCATGAAAAAAAAACCTGAAGTTTATTTGGTGGTACCGTAGTGAGAGAAATTATTCCAGGAAAAGTACTGTACAAAGATCATTGTCTTCAATTCCCTCTACTGGTACCGTTGTATGATTCGTCTGGTACAAAATATGTTACGGTACCGGTACCTGTGCACTGGTACAAAATATGTTACGGTACCGGTACCTGTGCAGGTACGGTACCCGTAACCGTAGAAATATAAAGAAAATTATGTTAAAAATGTAAGTGTAAGTTGATTCAAACTTACTTGAGATCACCAGTCTCAGGTTCAATTGAAATTAAAATTGGCTGCGACTATTGGCACCCGGGTACCAGAAGTGAGATACCTCGTTTTGTTATACAAACCCAACAATAGTATTTTAAATAAATAGTTTTTTAATCCCTACCTCTCACTTCTTGTAACCGGGTGCGAATAGCCACCTGGATTAAAATTGGACTGGCACCATCGTCCACCGACTTATACTATGAAGAACTCACTGAAGTGTTGCTCACCAAGAAAGCAACGAAGGGGATTTTTCGCTAAAAGTAAAAGCTACCTGGACTGTGCATTATTGAAAAGAGGGGTAGGCTACATATTTGCATTTATTTATTATTATTGTTTTTTTCGCTGCGGATTACCGGGTACAATCCTATAGCACAGTGGTCGGCAAACGCATAATCAGAAGAGCCCCCAAAAAATCAGCAGCAGGACGATAAAGAATTTTTTTTTGAGACTTAAAATTCTGTTCAAAAATCTGTCAAGAACCATCTTCGGAGTCAAACCCGATTTGTGGCCACATGGCCGAGCCGCATTCATATCGCTAATTTAAGTAATTTGGCGACCACACTGCTATGCTAATGCTATTATTAATTAAGTATTATGGAGATTGCGGATCTAAGTGGAGAACTGCCGAATTCCACCACAAGTATATTTCTCTTGTGGTTCAAGAGACACAAATAAAGTTATATTTTAATTATAACGAGCTGAATTCCGTGGTTTACCTACTAAATACTATTTAAAGTATTAAAGATCAGTGTTATTCTTTTTGTTTGTAGATGGGTCGATCAATCACAAGAAAACCAAACAATGGACACGATACCAATCAAATTTGACATGGTCATTCCTCCCAAATTGTTAGGTGGATTCTGGAAATTTTTATCATAATCCCCGAAACAAAATAGCACGCCAGTTTTTTTTTTTTTAAATCGTTAAATGTAGAGGGTAAAGAGTAACTAACGGTAACATTATTTTCAAATGGCTTCGAGGTACGTTCGAGTGATGTTAATTTTTAATTTTTTTTTGGTCTACGCATTTTTAATAAACCTTTATTGATTTAAAATTCAGTGGAATCACGTTTCCCAAGTTTAACCCACGATATTAACGACACAAATCACAAGTTGGATACCGGTACTTCTTTATGGGAAATAACTCTAGTCGACGAGTTTTACTTTTCCTCAGATATGAATCTGGAAAAAAAAAATATATATAAGAATTACAATCATGTTAGACTAAGATGATAGTCCCGGGTGGTAATAACACTAAATACGACACTGCTCAATGCTTAGATGTGAAAATAAGTGGAGAAAAGCAGTGTCATCTTAGTACTCTTAGTCTTAAGGTATGACTAGTATGAGCACACTGCGCACTACGGTATCTCTAGGAGGCCTCACGCATTTGAACGGACAAAATTATGATTTCCTTTTAGTTTGGTACACGTAGCTTGGTATACGTATTTGGACTATAAAAATTATAGGGACTAAAGTAAGATGGAGCTTTAAATATATACACCCAGGGGGCCCCACTACCAGAATTAATTTTTGGTTATATTTGGGGGTGGCGACGAAGTCAGAGCTGGCCCTGGGGATCTAAATTCCTAATTTCGGTGCTAATAGAATTCCCTGCCATCTCCCCCGAACGCCTGTGCGTTCAAAGAAATAGTATGTTACCAGTATAATAATCGAATAGTTCAGGGGCGTGTTTAAAGGGTGCTTTGGATTATCTAGACTTTGCATTCATGGGCGTTCTTTTTATTAAGTTTCATGGGCAAATTTTTATTGTAGTTTGTAGATGTGAATGGAAGGGAGAATCGCAAGTTAGTGTTTAAGCATCAAATCAGGTTTTTAGTAAAACCACGTACCCGGTACCGGTACCTGAATGGGTTGGTGCTTTGAGAAAAGCATTGTCTCAAAGGCATGATTTATGACACACGGAAAAATGTCAGCCCATATTAGATTAAACTAATTTAAATTAAAATTATATACACATTTTTTGTATATGCATGATTTGACCCGCATATGTCACTCAATGTTCAGTGGAGGTCGCTGGTGACCTACTGATCATATAGGGTTGTGTTGCAATTGGGTTTGAGTAACCATGCAAAATTTCAAGTCCATCGCCCGGATGGAGGGAGCATTTCAAAAACTGAGTTACAAGATTTGACCCAGACAAACTTGCAAGGTAAATTTAACGTGCAATAAGCCATATTATGCATATATCATTAGTTATGGTATCAGGAAAATGTTATTTGATAGATGTGTTCCTGAGATTATGTAGGGTGGAAGAAACGCATTTTGGGCTATTTCCTTATATGAGCTATACAAAATTTGAGAAATCATGATTTTGTGCAATGCCTAGGTCGGTCGTGAAGTTTAATGTACGTTTTTATCGCTGCACAAAAATGAACGTCTCTCCCGGGTGCTTTGCGTAAAATAGCTTTTCTCATTTCGTGAGAACATTGTGTTGAGTGTTAATTTCCTTGACGTCTTGAACGCTGTGAAGAGTATCGATATTGAAAAAATCATTCCTAGACCAAGTTTGCGCTCATTTTCTAAAATAGCCACAGTTGTGGCGAATCAAAAGTAAAATTGGCTAAGGTATATATAATTTATAAAACACCACTATTAAATCAAATGAGAGTAAATACTGCCAATGGAAGCTCCTCTGCTGTTAAATAGGCCTATGTGTATATATATAATATATAAATATAAATTAATATATAGGGCCTATATAGTGCAGTTGTCCGTGCAGGGGACATCTCCTGGTGCAGAGTTAACCCAGGCTTTTCTGGCAGCCTTTCTTTACAGAGGAACGCCACCAGAGTGTTTAGGTCTATATCGAATTCTTTCAGTTAGAAATTTAGGTTGTCTTTAACGCGTTTCTTCTGTTCACCAGCAAATCGCCTTCCATGCTTGAGCATAGAATATTCTTTTAGGCAAGCGGAAGTCTGACATTCGCACAACTTGTCATATTCATAAGGCATACAACTGAGTCCAAACATATTTAAAAAGCATTATTTTATATATTAAAACAATATTGATGTTCTATTTCATTTTTACAAGCAATAAATTATTTATTGTGTAAATGAATGAACTTCTGTTATTAATCCATCATATGTTTTCACTAACTGGACATTGTTTTTTTATCTTCACCTGGTCTATAGCAACGCTCAGAGCGCATGCGCTTATCTAGTTTACAAATGGCGACTTGAAGCTTTAGAAGTTTGTAAATAGCATAGACATACACTTAATTGCAATGTGTTTGTTGTTTATATAGATTTTGGCAACTTAAAGTGGTAGTTAAATGTATGTATCTGAATAAAATATTTAGTCTGCAATTTATAGCACCAGCTTGATTAATTTTAATTGATTCGTGAAATAATTCCAACTTAAATTAAATTATAATTAATCAAATCCCCACATCACAACTACAATCTACACTTTCGTCCTTCGCCTTCCACTTTAGCAGTGTTTGGCAAACTCATTTGTCAAAAGAGACAAAAATCAGCAGTGATTAAAATTTTTTCAAGAGCCAAATTTCTTTTCAAGAACCTGTAAAAAACCATGTTTTTTCTTAGTCAAAACCCATGTGTGACCGCGATTTGCCGACCAATGCACTGGCACTATACTACTAGTACTAGTATAAACTATACTGTAGACTATAATAGTCTATGATTATTAATTATGCCATTATCACTATGCTCTCTTTATGTTATTCAAAATAGCCTATATTTTATAATTATTTGTATTAGGTTTTTTGTTTTGTGTTTTGGGGTGGGGGATATTTGAGACTGGATTAATTATAAGAAGTTTCATCTTCTTAAATAAATAAAAAATCTTTACAGACCTGCAAACCCTTCCGATTTTCTCGGAATTATATGGATTTTTTACCCCTCATTCCGACCTTCCGACAAACCCCATAAAATTCAGATTTTCCAAAAATTACATTATAATTTTTCACCCGTCATAAAAATCCAAAAGCGAAAAAAAAGAAAAACGGGTCTGACAGGAAGTTGTGCATTTCGCTACTGCCACTTCCATTGTTTTGATCGAAGCGAACCGCGAATTCCATTCTTCATTCATCAATTGATCCGATCGTGACTCATCCTTAGTTTTACTAGGCTTACAGTGGTGTTGTGACTTTTTTTTTGGTTGCTTTAAGCTTTACTTTTCTTATTAAATGGATAAATTTGTAAAGAGAACTGCTGAAAAAGCTTTTCCAGTGACCGAGGTTGATAGTGCTCCTAACAAAAAAACAAAAAAACCCCAGAATTCTTAACTATTTTCGAAAGGAGTGTTCGGAAAAACACTCATTTATTCGACCATCAGCCCGTGGCGAAACATTTGCATTGTGCAATCTGTGCCAGACCCACTTATCTATTGAAAGTGGGGGGTACAATGACATTAATAAACATATCCACACAGCAATGCAGATGCTGAAATAATTTTTTCCATTGTCCATTGTTGTGGAGGAAAATTACAATGAAACTAGGGCAAGCATGAAAGTTGATACTCTTTCTAACTTGCTTGTAACTAAAATCAACTACAAGGTGTCAAAGTTGTCCAAAAAGCTGTTGGACAAGTGCAAAAAGGCCACTAGGAATATGCTGGAAAACTGAACTCTTAGTTAGCAGCCTGTGTACATTACATATGTAAATAAAATGGATTTTCTGTCCTATATATCTGTATATAAACATTTCCAGTAATGTTTCTCTCATGCTCTGTGGACTCTTCAAAGACAATTGAGGTAACTTTATATTTCTTTCTTTTCTTTATTTACCAAATAAAAGGCTTGTGCATTAGTTTACAGATCTTAAACTAATGCGCCCCCACCCCCAGCCCCGGTCGGCGTGCCCTGGGGGGCAGCCCCCCTCTTTCCCCCCACATGCACCGCCCCTACAGATTTTTTTCTTGGCAGGTTGGCAGGTCTGTCTTTATCTTTAATTCCAAATAATTATTTTTATAATAATACCATAATAATACATTGATTATTGTCAATTGTCGTAAGATAGTTATATTGTTTATTCCTCAGAAAAGCCATATTTGATACAGGTAGTTCTGTTAACATGCAACAACAAGTGATTTTGGCTGAGGTGCTGGGTTATCATTGTTTTGTAACTATAAAGACAAATATTAAAACATAGAGTTGTAATACTTCTTTCAAAGGTACACTTTTTAAAATAATATTAATATTTAGAAGAAACTAAAATGGCAGCAAGTGGAGGGGGGAAAAAGAAGACAGTGAAATATCAAACACGTTTGGGCATAACTGATGATGATTCCAAAATACTTGGACGGTCTACAGCTCTGCGGAGAGATAAAAGTGTCAATGAGGAAAAGTTTCACACTTTGCTAATGAAGACACAGAATAGTGCATGGACACCTTTAGTTAACAAACCATCCAATGAGCAGGTAGATAAATCTTGCTTAAATGCTATATCAACAATATTTATTTAAAGCATATAGTATATAGTAGCTGATTATGAGCGTTTAAACTAATTTTATAATTTTGAATTATCTCATATTTTATTAAGGCAATATAATATTTTTAATTTATATGATTTCAGATTTTTAAAGAGAGAAGAGATTTGGTATCACACTGGGTAAGAAATATAAATAGGTTTTTTGATTGTTGAAGCATTATTTATGTAGCCGAGTGGTGACGTGGCTTACAGTTTAAAAATTACAATAAAACAATCAGGTCTGAGGACTATAGCTTTTTAATGTTAGGTACAATCCGTTGACAGAGCCGACAGTAAAATCTCTCACACATGCATCCGACCCGACATATCCGTTTCACACGAAAATCTAAAAAATATACACACTCCAAGTCCCAGTTTGCCCCCCTTCTGGGTTAAATTTAAATCACCCGCCTTATATAGCCCACAGTCACAAGGAACCGGCATCATGAGCTGATCATGGATCAACCCCGGGGCAGGGATGGTTATTCCTATGTGTAAAATTGTAAATAACCAAACATAAAATTTAAGGCCCAGTACACAGCTATGTGTTACTTTAAATGACCATGGATGTGTACGTGCTTGGTGTTACCCACAGCAGTCACACTATTACTATGAGAGGGGATTCTCTTATTCCTATCTGTGGCATACTGCCACATATAAAATGTTATATAAATGCAGTTAAAATAGTGGCACATTGCACCATTTAATTATTATAGATAAAAAGATTTAAAAAAAAAAAAAAAAAAAGAAAAAAACGCAAAGGCCAAAAAAATTCTTTATTTTAAAAAATTTTTAAAAAAAAAAAAAAAATAAAAAAAAAAAAAAAAAAAAGCAAAAGATGCTAAGGTCAATAAAATTCTCTATTTTCAAACATTTTTTAAAATTAAAAATAAAGGAGCGGTTTTCTTTTGAATTATCTAATTGATCTTACTATTAGATAATTCAACAGAAAAAAATCTTACAGAAAACAGATCTTACCATTAAAGACATACACAATTTTTAAAACTCATTGAGTCATTGTTTACTACTGCAAATAAATAAATATATTTTAACTTATATTAGCTTCCCAAGGGCAAGATACCATTTGGAGGGGAAACAAATTGAAAGCATTTCTTTATCGTGGTAATCAAATGACATTTGGAGAAGGAATGCATTTTTAATAAAATTGAAAACTTCAAAATTGTTATTAATTACTAAATATGATAATGTTTGAGACTTAATCTGACATAATTAATTCTTTTTATCCATTTTTATTTAAACTGACTTGAGTGGGGTTTGTTTTTTTGTTGCTGTTGGACTCTTCCAGTTCCAGCCAATCTTTCTCCAGATTCCTGGCATACTAGAGAGCTAAAATTTCAAATATAAACTTAGTCTTGTGGTATATTTTGATATACTAATTTTGACTACCAAATACCATTACCTTCCCTAAATATCTTGGTCCATAACATATTAAGAAATGATACTAGGCAAAGCAAATTCATTGAATAGAAATTTAACCCCCCCCAAAAATTTTTTATTTTTCTGATATAAAAGGGGTTACTATAAAAAAAAACAATAACTTTGTACTTTACTTTTACTTGTTTCTGTTCAGTTTGACTTGTGGACAGACTCACAAAGGAAACGTTTCCTAGATGTCATCTTTAAGCAGTGTAGCAGATCTCAGTACAGGTATTTATAAAAGAAACACAAGTTCACAAGTGGTGTAATAAATCCCAGCATAATGGTTACAGACATTATATAGTTTTGACACTTATGTAAATTTTAAAAATATGCCTTGTAATAAATATGATCAACTGTTTATCTTTCTATAATTGTATGTTTGAAGAAAATCAAATTTCCAATTCAAAGATAGCAATGATTTCATTTTAGTTTTGTCCAGAGGTGGTTCAGTGACAACATGGCTCTACAACATTTAGATTTCACTGTTGTACTTCCTCGTTTCCTCTCCTGTTACATCTTTTCCTTCCTGGAACCTAAGAGTCTGTGTAGATGTGCTCAAGTATCCTGGCACTGGAAATTCCTCTCAGAACAAGTAAGTTTTATCGTTTTTTTATGGAAAAAAGGAATATTATTTTGAATATAGCCTTTTATATGTATATATACATCTGTTGGAGACTACATTATCAGTTTTCTAAAGGATTTCAAAGGCTTTTTATTTATCAAATATCATTGTTGATTTGCAATTCTGACTGGTAAATTACTGCACCTACAATCCAAAAATTATATGTCAAGATATGTAACAATTAAGTAGGCTAAGTTAGTCACTAAACTATATAATTGCTTTATGATTTTAGTTTAGAAATATAAATCAACTAATCAGTGCCATCTAAAAATGAAATACCACATCATTTCTTTACCAATTAAAAAGGAATTTTAGATTTAATTCTTAAAAATTCCTTAGCTAGTAATCATTAAGTCGAAAGAATGAATATATAAAAAGGATATTACAGTATTATGATAATAATTGTATTCAAAGGAAGTTGTCTGGCTTCCTAAATGTGTTAGACTGGGCTGGTTTCTACCTTACACACCTGCAGATAATGAATATGGTGCATGGAAAAGACATTATGTGGCCTGCATTCAAACACTGGACTACCACATCACAAGAGGAAGATCTGTAAATAATGTCTTTATTTTTAGAATAAGTATGGAATTGCTTTGTTTAACTCTTCAAGTTATTAATTGTTTTGCAATAGCATGTTAAATTTCATAGTAATTGTAAAATGTAGAGGAAAAAAATTAATGAGCATTTTAAATTGTATATACTGCTGCCTTGAATGAGAGGAAATGTTCTTTTTTGCTCCACTGATATTTTATATAAAAGTGGAGCACTTCATATCACATACTCAAAACAAAGTGTTATTCTTAAATTCAGGCTAGCTTAGATCGTAACCTGGTTAGTCGACATTTACGTCCTCAATCACCAGTCAAAGCTGGCAGACTATCCAGGGCAGACAGCCGTAAGTATGAATTGTCAAATTTTCACATCCAAATTACATAATATATAAGTATAAAAAAGTTGCAAAATGATTCTCAGAAGACATTCCATCAAATGACTAAGAATAAAAGATTCTTGAGGTTTGTACATTGCAGGCTATTTAATTAGCATTTTTTATTATTTTCTTCATAAAAACATTTAAGCATGCAATCCTTATCTGTAAAGTTGTAAAAATAGTAGTTGGGATCGTGCAAACAAACCATGTCATGGCTGAATTCAAAGTTTTTAAGTTTTATTAGAGAAAAGTTATAACATAAATAAACCATGTTGTGATAAATGCATTCCAGGTCGACTAATGGACATCAGACAACCTTGGCAAGGGCCGGATTTCAAGCCAAAAGATTTGATTAAAGCAAGCCAATCAATGCTTAATGAACAGAATCCAAATGATCCTGTTCGACCGTCGTAAGTCAGTTGTCAATTTAATAATATTTCAAAAGCAAAGACCGGTTTTTGATCTCTCTCTTTAATGGTAAAAAAAAGTTTCAAAACAATTAACTTTTAACAGGATTCTAATAGCATAGGCATTCACTACCAGTACAAATTAAACAATTTTTCCTTCTTTTTTATATTCCATTACAAAGTGAAAACAAATTACCCATTATTTGACAATTTTTAAAAAATAAATGCAAATGAACTTTGACTATAAAGGATGGATATTATTTATGTAAGATATGTAATGAGGCAGTAGACAAAATTAGCAACAGAAATAAACTTTTTACATTTCAAATTTCTCTTCAGTTCTGATCTTGTTCTGCATAACAAGTTTGGAATAAGACGTAGTACACCCAATAACACATTGGCTAGCAAATCTCTGGATTTTGAAATTGGCATGGACTCAACCAGCCGTAGAGAAAAACATAGAATGCTTTTGGTAACTTTTTTGTTGCATTTTTACCTACATGATCAAGGAATGAAATGCTTAGTTAAAAACAAGAAACATATTTAAAAGCTACAAAATGTATCAATATTAGAGTGAAGAAAGTTTTAGGTGACTGTTATACTAGATGGCACTCTGCTGCCAACAATAAAATATGACTCTTTTTATATAAAACTGCCATAAGGCATTCAATCTCTAAGCTACATCCTGTCATTTGACAATGTTTAGACTTACTTTTACAATAGATCAAATACTTCATTCTTCTTTGTATATCACTTATTTCCACCCAAATTTGAAGTTTCCCAGTAAAGCTACTTAGGACTTGAAAAATTAAGTGAATTCCACTTTGGTGTTAGCATGGCACTTAGAGAACGCTTGCTTTACTCATTAAGATCAGCTTGACTCTAGTGCAGCTCTCTCCATGGTTGAGGGTAGCATCTATATCATTAAAGGAAAACAACGTAGTGTATATTACAGCATAAGATATGATCCACATGTGATGCAAATCCCTAACATTTTGTTTGAAAACTATCTTACAACCCCATGCCCACATATATTATCCTATGTTAATCTTATTCCATTGAATTATTAATAATACAAACGGAATTAATTTAAAGAAAAATATATTGTTAAGTAAAAATGTCAAAATTCTATACATTCTTATGTAGCTGAGTGGTGGGTTGCCGGTGGCAATACATTTTTAAATTTAATTAGAATAAAAGAAACGAGGTCTTGAGAACTATAGTTTTTTGTTGGTTCTGAGATTGTGGTAGCCAAAAACAATGAGGAGAAAAAGCCTAAGAAAAAGAACAATTTCTGAAAAGATACAAATGGAACAGGTTAAAAATACAGGTTATTAAATGACCTGACTAAGATTTAATTACACGGCTAACAACAAACATGTTAAATAACTCTGCAATTTGCAGGCTATGACAAACATGCTGAACTAACAATACATATGCATGATGACAATATGGTACCTGTCATACAAATAGCTGTGATCAGTTAGCTATGACATTTGATTCTATCATCAGGCTGGTGAAGACTATCATCTGCCAAGAGTCAACAAGTCCACATTGAAAGATCATCTGACTGCCGTAAATCTTGAAGAGAAAAGACTGCAGGATTTAGTGAACACTGAGTGGATGCCGCCCACAGCATCTGTCATGAAAAGGTCATTTGTAATTTAAGGGTTGGAGAGTAATAGAGGGATGTAGAAAGCTTTTCATTAAAACACGGCCGCCAGAGCCTTATATGCTAAAAGAATACAGAACACTGTCCCGATCTGAGCTGCTGCCAGAGAAACTTTTGCACTTGCCAGCCGAGTACCTGAACATTGATAAATGGTGTTGGGGACCCTCCACAAACCCTTGTCAAAAATCTAATTGATGGTCACACCCAGCAGATGAGGCGTGCCGGCCAGGTGTTTGCCTGGGACAAGAGAGAGCATAGCTTGGCCCCTAAAAGAGAATGAATATACTAAGTAAACATTTCAGAACCAAACATTTGAAGGGGTATTTTGTGTTAACCTGTTAAATTAAAAAAATTGAAGAGATAATCTTTTGTTGTTACATCTCCAAGGCACATACAATGTTTATCATACATATATCCTTGAGCCAGATGGGCAAGAAAATAGTTTTGGATGGAATAAAACAGTGCTGTTAAACCATTTAAGTATACATTTTGTTTTAAAAACAAACTTAATTGTAACTTTGCGTTTCATGCTGAATGGATATTTAGTTTCTATTGAAGATGAGTAAACTGTAGTGCTTGTTACAACCCTCTGGCTATGCATCACTTGATCGCATCAGCCCACTTGGAGAATCCCAGATCCATAATATATATAATAAGGATCCATCCCTTTTTAACTATTAAAGTAACTGAGACTTTGCATTGTAATTTAAAAAAAAAAAAGAAAAAAAAAGAGAAGTAAAAAAAATAAAAAAAATAACTTGATTTATGCACAAAACTTCATGCAGTATTTAAAATATTTTATTCCTCTTGTGCAGTTTTAGACCCACTGCCCTCCAGACTCGATCTCCACAGATTGGTGGCAATTTTACTAGTGCTAATCCTCGTGTCATTATAATCTCATCCCGAGTCCCAGCAGCTGAGGTATGGTCTTAATTTAGGATATTAATTGCTAAAAATTTAAAAAACTATTGCAACATCTATTGCTTTGTATTTTTGATCATGCTACAAAAACTCTGTGTATATATTCTCCTTAAATAACAAAACGTAGGCTTAAATTCATCAATGTAATTTGAAATATACATACAGAATAAGGCCCACATGTAATTAAAACATTGTTTTAGCCTGTAATCTGATGAAGCTTCAACTGCTTCAGTCTTTTGTTTTTTTACATAGGCATGCATATATATATTATATACACAAAGATACATACATATTCACAAACACACTCACACACCCACACATGTATGCACACATAAATAAATAAAAATTTACTGCATACAGGGAAAACATTTAAATTTGAGCACATCTCTCTTCATCACGCCCACCCACCCACTGCTACATTTCCCCTACAGACACACATTAACTCACCGAAAACGTCAAAGATATTTGTGTAGATCATCTGTGGTATTTCAGCTACTACTTGATGCCGTGTTGTTTGGCGTGCTGCCAGTTGTGTATGAGTACGAGGGCACAACAGCCCAGTCCATTGTTCAGCAAGTTGAGTTTGTCTTAGAAGGAAGGAATGCCCAGTGAGTACGGCATATGTTTCCTGTGTTTTAATTTAGTAGAATAGCACTTGGGGAAAAAAATCCATGACGTAATGTCACTGGATGTCAACTGTCAAATAAAAATTCTATTCAGTTTATAATATAAAAAAAAACAAAAAAAAACTTATTGATTCCTTTAAAATTTTTATTTACAACTTCATAGAAGTATTGGCCTCTTCTGTCATTGTGATGAGCCCAGTGAGCTGAGGCTGGCCCATGGCTGCGCTGTTTCTCTCGTTTCACTGGCTGACCAGGAGGACTCTGAGGCACGGGATTTTTTCGAGGCACTGGTCAATCACATTCTTCCTGTAGAGATGGGTGGTCAGTTTGACATATTTGTGCCCCTAGCCTCTTCTGGTGAGTCTACTACGCACTGTTGTTTATTGATCACTTTTATTGATCAGAACTCAGATATTTTTTTCTAATATAATTAAACAAACAAATAACTTCACATTGAGGTTCAAAATAAAAACAGTTTTGAAGCCTACAAAAAATACTTTAGCAATGAATTTAAAATTTTATTTATTACCAGAAAAGAATAAATTAAACACGGTGGAACTTAAAATAAATAAACCTCAGTAACTATTAAATTTATGTATTTAAAATATCCTTTCTCTTAAATGGTTAACTACCATGCGCCACTGGGAGCTGCTGGGCATTTCTTTTGTGATGGCCACGAGCCGCTGGAAACGCCAACGTTTGTATCGTAGTCAACGTGACCTAAATTTAATTCGGCCACAGCCGGTATTTCAATGTGGTAGCTAATCAGTTTAAAAAAAAAAAAAAAAAAAGAAAAGTGATGTCTTTGTGTTTACTTTTCTTTGCATGGTTTTCATAGAGGAAGGAATGGAGATTATGGTTCAACTCAGTGTACTAACAAGTATGCAGTTCTCATCACCAACAGGCCTCATTGGAGCTTATAACCACAGTAAGCTCTGACTGTAGATTCAACATTAGTTTTCTATATATTTTACACATACTTCACGTTGTCATCTCTTTAACGTTGTGTTGATGCATTATGTTTAACTTCCAAAATGGTTTTATATAAAAAAAATATGTCTAGTGAAACTGGCCAGCAGATTTGAACTTGTCAGCCAGCTGTCATTTGCCAAGCCATGGTTTAATGACAAAATCCATTTAAAATAGATGATAAGTAAAAGCTTGTTTCCTTATAATCTTCAGCTCGATGCATTGCTCTGTAACTTTTCTGTCTGTCAACTCCTATGTTCTACTGGACTGGTTAATTCGTCAAGTTCTTTCACACGTTGTAATATGTCGTACTATTCTTACTATCACTGAATAAACTCAAGCCCTTTTCATAATAATTATAACTTTAATATCTAATTATAAACACATGCATATGGCGCAGCTTGCTATCAGACATAACTAAAACACATCCTGCATCTACAAAATTCCTTTCAAGACTGCCAGACGAATAAAGCTAACGTCACATTACCATCTAGACAATACGTCACAATCAGTATAAAAATATGTCACTAAGTCAAGCGCAGGAAGAGCATTCAATAACTTATAAAACTCTCAAACACCCAACGCGCGTAAAAGACACATAACATTCAGTCGCAACAATTATCAATGAATTCCCATACTGGACACTGTCCTTGCAGTCAACACAGAATGGTTGATCCTCTATGACAACATCAAGCCCCCTCCAGCAATGTACTTCTGCCAGAGCAAGCTCAACGTATGGGCCAATGTGGCAGACCAGGCACTGGAAGCAGTCAGGGAAACTCGAGCTGTGATGGACCCTTACTTTGACAGAGTTCATCGTAACATCTCAGCACAAACAACAGGCTAGTATGCAGTTCTGTTTTGTGCTCATGAACCAAAGAAATTAGGGATAACAGTTGGACCTTAGATAGAAGTGATAATGGGACATATTGTTTTTAAATTCCTATCAATATTGCATTTCATTATTTGGCTCATCCTTTAAAATGAAGAGTAAAGTATTGTAGAGGGAATGATGGAACTAAAAGGGGGATCAAACTTCCATTTAGCAATCCCTGGAAATGTACATATTCTGTCAACATTGGTTGGATGAGCAAGTGTAAGTTGCTTTCTTCCCTTCTTGGCACCTGGTTTTTTTATAATATATATTATAATAATTTTGCTGTTTTAATTAAAAAAATTTTTTTGACAGTGCATCGTAATGCAGTCATATTTAACTGCTAACTATACATAAACTTAGTTCTTTCTAGTATTCTTCTACAAGTCTTGTCACTGTCAGATTACAGGCTGCAGCTTTGCTGATTTATATTTTTGTCATGTGACTGAAAAAACAAGAGCACTTTCCCTTTTAAATCATGAACTGCCTCAGTCACCTAGGACTATGCATTGCTTTGACAACATGGTTTTAAAAGTGTGTACATTTGGTTGAGAGACATTAGGGTAGGATTCGTTCTGATGAGACATTGGAGATTTAGATTAGATGAGAGATATGAGTTAATAGATTTGTGGAGAGTGAAATTATTATTATATTTTTTTCTAGGCAGCTTATATATTATTTTATGTAGGATGTGTAGGATGTTTTTGGACACATGTATTTACATGTATTTGGAACATAAGTGATTGTTTTTCGAATGCATTTTTAAACTATATTAGACACCTAGCCAATAAATAAATAAACCTGAACTTTTAAATGAGTTATGGTTACTTGACTTCATACAAAACATCAACCTTGTAGGGGACTCTCTAACAGGACAACAAAGCCCATTTATTTCTTTGAATGTCAATTAATGAATGAACATACATGACGCCTCTATTTCTAAAATTATTACTTTTGAAAAAATTCTGTTTGTGAATCTTGTAATGCGATGACCAATTTTTCTTCACTGATGTGAGTTTAAATTGCAGGTTATATATGCGATGACCAATTTTTCTTCACTGATGTGAATTTAAATTGCAGGTCAGCTTGTTTTTGATGTGCTTGGACAGACAGACATTCAAGGTGTGTCCAATATCACAGATGCCTTAAGAGACGGCCTGAAAGCTTTAGGAGAGTCATCCTCTGTAAGTGTCAACAAATGTCCTGCTGTGGCAAGCTGATGGGGTGGAAGTCTCCTCCATGAGTCTAGTTGAAAGAAATACTTGTTAAAAAACTAGGAACTAATTTAGTGCAGAAGGAATGTGGTTTTTGAATAGATCTATAAGTTATTTTTAATGGTTTCTTGTTTAAATCTGGGCAGTGTGTTGGGGTCAAAGAAAATGTATTTATGATGGGATGTTTTAGAGGAAAAAGGATTGTTCAACTACGGTGCAGTCATTAAACTGCTCAGTGAAAGCAATAATTGGTCTTGTACATTTGCAAATTTTATGAAAAGGCATGAGTAACATCATGTGGTTTATATGAAGTCTTGTATGAAGTAAGTCTTGTTTAAAATCTTGTATGAAGTCTTTTATGAAGTAGGTCTTGTATGAAGTAAATCTTGTATGAAGTAAGTCTTGCATGAAGTCTTGTATGAAGTAAGTCTTCTATGAAGTCTTGTATGAAATAAGTCTTTTATGAAGTCTTAAATGAATTCTTATATGAATTAAGTCTTGAATGAAGTCTTGTACGAAGTTATAGTTAAGACAATTTTCTTTTTCAGTCGCAGCCTCTCAAGTTTCTCGGCAGATATTTGTTAGAGAGAGCTGGAGTGGACACAGACAATATGGGCCTTACGACGGTAACATTTCATTTTAAACAGCTGGCAGTGTTGCTTACTATTTAGGTACACCAAACCATACATTGAATAATGTATTGAAAAAGTGGTAGTATGAAGGTGGGAGCAGTGGTAGGGTTCAAATAATTTAAGGAGTTTGCTGATCCGATGATCAATTTAAGCATTGAAAAAAAAAAACAAGCAACCCCAAATTTAGTTTATTATTTTATTGCAGTCAATGCTTAAATGAAAACAATTAAAAAGAAAAAGCTACACATAACTAGTAAAGTTATGAGAAGGAGTTTTAAAATATTAATGAATTTTAAAAAAATAATAATACCTGATTAAAAAACAATAAAACTGTTTTTCCATAATTGGTAATAATTGGGATCTCTTATTTATTTGCAAAAAGAAATTAATTTTTAGAATGAGCCTTTTTTATGAATGTCTATTTATTATTTTTTTTTTCCCCCAGAAATCCGTCGTGAGCCTGACTCAGCACCTGAGGATGTCATTAGAGGAGTCTGAGAGAGAGGATGGCACACTGACAGACAGGACTGAAGGGGAAAAGGAGATCCGGAGGGAGGAGAATGGCACCGGGGAGACAGAAGAAAACGAAGCTCATGAAGAGGACGGCGAGAGTAGTGACAGGAGGAAGGATGACGGTGAGGGTAAGATGCAGATACAGGATGTTGCATTATGGATGTAGACTTTTGCTTCAGAATATCATGAAATTTATGTACTCACCAGATTTTTACTTAATTTTTAAAAGGTTTTTTGGGGGGGTCGGGGGTGGGGTTCGGAGGGATGGGTTACATATTTCATACTTGGAATTTTTTTAAATAATGAAAAAGAAAAAGAGGAAATGTTTTATTAACATTGGAAAAATCTATATTAATGTTGAAAAAGAGTCCTTGTACTTCCTTGGGGAGAATTAGTGTTAAGTATGGTGCAGACATGTAAATTTTCATTAATGCTCGCTAAACATGACAATTATATTTAACTAGTTTCATGTTTGCTGTAGATTTCAAAAAATTATTTTAAAGATATAGAGCAGATGAGGAAATTTAATTCAATCAAATTTCTGTATGCGAACAATAATTCAGGTACTGGCAGATTGCTTAAAAAAATAGATACAAGTTGAAAGTTTTAAACTTGAGCTTGACCTTTACTCATTAAAATATAGCCCCCCCCCCCCTAAAAATATTTTTATGAACGTTCCAAACCTCAAAATTTAACTCATTTCTAATACCAATGTTTTCTGACTCTAATCAAGAAGAGAACCTGAAGGACTCGTTACAAGAGAAGGACGGCAAGAAGCTAATCAAGAGCCAGTCCTTGGACTTGCCCACAGTCAACTTGAGTGTCAAATTTGGTACCATGAGAGCCAGCAGAAGTCAGAGACTGGTAAATTACCTCCCTTTACATGAGTCTATATAAGGTTTATTATTGCTTCTTGCCACTGTCGCCACTCAAAGATGAAACAGTTTATTGGTGCCACTTACAACTACTACCCTTTAACCCCAGGTTTCGAATCTTGAGGGAAAAACATTAAGGAACGCACCCAAAAATATCCTTCCCCCCCCCCACCCCCCCCCAACACACACTTTATGTTTCCTTCGATAATAAATATCTATTTATTGCTTAGAAGAAGAAGAAAAAAAATGCGGAACTCCATTCCCATGTGTTCCTGAAGGAATTGAGCCCCCATGGCCACAGAGTGATGAAAAAATTTGATTTAGAAAAACTGACAGTTGTATCTCTCCTTCTAACACACAGACATCCCAGCAGTATGCTGACCACCCTGAGAAGAGGACACCTATAGCTTTTGAGATACTGACCAGTGAGACAGAGTACATGAGAACACTAAAGTCTGTGCAGGATGTTTATGTAAAGACTCTGAAATCAGCCATAGCTTCCAACAGGTATCCAATGGGTGTGTTACGGTCAAAGTGTTAGATCCAGGCATTCCTTAGAAATGCACTCGAAAATATTTTTTGCCCTTGCTTTTTATTATTTGTTTATAAAAATTCGTATATCTTTATGTGTTATTATGTACTTGGCCTAAGTGCAAGGCAATGTATATAATGTCTAATGTATTTCATGCTTTGACCCAAAGCTTCAAACATTCCATACCTCTGGATTTCACACTTTGCCGTCAACAGATTGTACTCTATTCTGTTCATTTCAACTCTAGGCACCACTGAAATATAGTATATTTATGTTGTTCATTGGATGTTAACAACCGTGCTTAAAATATGTATTATTTACAGCTTATCCAACATCTGTATATGATTCCATTATCATTATGTTAAACTAGGAAGTATGAAGGACGAGTTGATTAAATTGTGTTGTTTATTTTTTTGTATCTTTGATTGAAACTTTATATGATTTCATTATATCTACAGGGCCATCATCAGTGCCCAGAATGTGCAAATTATTTTCACAGACCTGATGAACATCTACAAAATTAGCAGGTACACAAAATGATGTGGTTCATGGAAAGATGAAGGTTGTTGATCAATTTCTTTAGCGGCAAACGCAATGAAGAAATTTTTTTTTTAGAAGAACAGAATTTCGGTTTCAAATGATTTCAGTTGAGCTCTTGGAGTCAGAGCTGTAAATGTAAAAAAAATAAAATCAACTTAAGATTATTTTTTTAATGTTGAGAGAAAAAAAATGGAATGAGAAATTACTTTGATATATCGCTCTTCAGTTTTCAATACATTATATAACCAGCCATTTCAGCTTCAAAAGCAGGGCTCAAAGCTTATATTTTTGTCAATCTCAGACTTGAGGTTTTGGATATTTTAAATAAATACTGGAACAAAATATGTTTAGGTGTCGAAAAGGATAGGAAATATTAAAAGGTCATTTTTGCTAAATGCCCTCTTCAGAAGAAAAGAAAGAAAAAGTCACAACAATAATTAGTTATAAAAAAACATCTCTCAAAGTAGTTCTCTCAGCCTCTGTTTAGAAATGAAAATGTTCTATTAGAATGGAAGTTAAGTGGTTCAAAGCCAAAACTTGTGCCCCACATAATTCTGTGGTGCGTACTATCAAGGTAAAAGAATTTAAGTATTATTAATGTAAAGTTGCATATTTTAAACATATATATTATCCTTAGGTATTTTACGTTGCTCACACTGAGTGAAAACTATAGCTGACATTGCCCATTAATAGCTTACTTTCTAATTTGATCTTGAAAAATTGTTGACATCTTCAGAGAGTTGGAGGAAGATTTACGAAACAGACTAGCAGACTGGGACCACCAGCACACATGTCTAGGGGATGTGTTTGTAAGGTTCTGCACGAAGCTCAAAGCTTACACAAACTTCACCAACAATTATGAAGTCATCCTGCGGGCCATTGAGAGATGCAAGGAACAGACCCCAGCATTCAGAGCTTTCCTGCAGAGGCACGAGAGGGTCCCTGAGACGCGGATGCTTATGTAGGTCAATTATTGTTTCTGGCCCCTGACATATGGACGCCTACATAGGTCATTTGTATCTGGTCCCTGAGACATTTTTATTTAAATAATTTTATTACAAAGAATTATTAAAATTAAATTATGTCATTTAAATATGAATAGATTTAATAATTTTGTTTAATGTTGAAATTTACAGGTCAATAATTTGCTATCTATCTCACCAGCAATTTGTTAGCAATATCATTTATGTCTTACATCTCGAGATCTGACTAAAAAAAACATTTCATTATTTTTTTAAAGGCTGCAAGAGATTTTCCTATTGCCTGTCCGGCGTATATCAGAGTATGTCCAACTGTTGACCTGGTTTGAACTGCACACTCCCCGCACTCACGCTGACCGACAGGATCTGGCCAATGCCATCAACACACTAACTGAACTGGACAGGGGAATCAGAGAGGTGAATTAGACTCTTGTAACAGATCCATGAGAGCTCAGAATTTTAAACAGACTTAAAATTTCAATTTTCAAGTTGCTTTAGCTTCTAGTTAAAAAACATAGCTTGAGTTTTTAACAATGTTTGAATAATTGAAGATTTAAAACTTATTGTTCTTTTGATAACAGTGCAAGGTCAGGATGGACAGGGAGCGAATTCTTGTGTCTTTAACTAGGAAGATTATCAACTGCCCTGTAAGTAGTTACTTATTCTATTATCTTATACCATACACCATTCATACATCTTAAATACCATTTTAGTCTGAACCAAAAGGACAAGTAGGCCTTCATCATTTCATTGTTCCATTTAATTTGAGATTTGTGTCAGATATTATTTTTAACTTTGTACACATAGGCTCTGCTAGAAGCCAACAGGTATTTGGTGAACAATTTAGATGTTGCCCACCTGAGGCCACCCACTGACTCTGCTGTACCTGAGTTCAGGTAATTTTTTTTATAACTTAATAAATATATTTAAAAAAAATAAATTTTAGTTTTAAACATAAATTATATCACATCCATACCCTTATGATTGTTTTAAAAATTGAAAAAATTCACAAACACATGCTTGAAACGTTACAATTTACACTTTGACCATAAAACCCTATTTTGTTTCTGATTTTCTTAGACTGGCTCAGAGGTCAAGTTATTTTATCCATATCTGACCAAATACAATGATTAAAAAACTCCCTTTTACCTTATTTGTATAAAATAAAAAAATAGACTTAACTAGTATTAATTTTGACAAATGATGCTTAAACACAAGGCACAGTGACATTCTGTTGGAGGGGCTTTAGCTCAGGTCAGACATTCTATTGGAGGGGCTTTAGCTCAGGTCAGACATTCTGTTGGAGGGTCTTTAGCTTGGGTCAGACATTCTGTTGGAGGGGCTTTAGCTCAAGTCAGACATTCTGTTGGAGGGGCTTTAGCTCAGGTCAAACATTCTGTTGGAGGGTCTTTAGCTTGGGTCAGACATTCTGTTGGAGGGGCTTTAGCTCAGGTCAAACATTCTGTTGGAGGGTCTTTAGCTTGGGTCAGACATTCTGTTGGAGGGGCTTTAGCTCAGGTCAAACATTCTGTTGGAGGGTCTTTAGCTTGGGTCAGACATTCTGTTGCAGGGGCTTTAGCTCAGTTAGACATTCTAGAATCACCAACTTGACAAGAGATGAAATGAATAGAAGAGAAATTCTCCTTAAAACTTTTGGAAGGCCACTGGGAAAAAATATTCAAGTCTAAATGAGATTCTCTTACCTGACAATAACACAGAAATAAAACTTAGAATGCATTGTTGACAATCGAAACATTTCGTCCCACCTACAGAGCCTTCCAAGAGATAGCCATGCTTGGCTTGTACCTCTTCAATGATGCCTTGCTAATTACCAGGAGGACTTCCAAGCATTTCCCTTTCAGTAGAGCGGTAGAGTTCATCTACAAATATGAAACCAGCATGAGCCTTGTTCGCATGAAAGTAGTGGACATACCTGATTCTAAATGTAAGTAGTCCATGAAAGTAGTGGACATACCTGATTCTAAATGTAAGTAGTCCATTAAAGTAGTGGACGCTCCTGACTCTTGTCATTACAATTTTTTACAATTATTAACTAAATTAATTTTTATCTTTGTAAATGTTTTCATGCTTTTAATATGGTCTGTATTGGTCATGAATTCTGCTTTTCATCTTATCATAACAGTTTCAAAGTAGTGAGTTGATTGACAGATGTAACGCAATACCATTAATGAAATATGCAAATATGTACCAAGGGGGAACTCATAAATTCTATTTTAGATCATTTCAGTTCATATCAATACAAATAGACTAAGTGTGACCAAAAATGTTAAAAAATATTAAGAACCTAATTATAAAACTTGAAGTTGGTTTGCTAAGGGTTAATGTGTTGAATTTACTTCCATGAGGCTCAGCAACGGTTCGTGGTGAGTAAATCCTTGACAAATGTTTTGACAGAAACATTTTCATTTTTAAAAAAAAAAATGTTTACTGTTTGGTTCACTTTTTACTTAGAACACATTGATAGCCTCAGTCACAGTTATGGTTCTTGGTATCATTTTTCCTGGACAAATAGAAGTGCTTTTTCTTTTTAGTGTAACAAGAAATGAAATAAATAAAGTGTATTTTTTTTAATCCTGAAAATCAAGTTACATTTTATATCATTTGTTACAGTGCAGTAACTAATATGTGGAAAATGATTTACCTTCATGGTTTACAAATGTTACTATGTCATGTCCACTGGTCCCTATGTTAGATATTTTAATTAAAAAAATTATTTTTCCAACTTGGCAATTTTGACTATTAATCATTACTTTTACCAGCATTTAATCCTGATTTCCAAGAAGTTCACTTAAAATATACTTACTTGAAATTAGTTGGGTTCAGTAATTTACTAAATATTATAGTTATAGACGTCTTCAATAACATATACTCCAATTTTAATTCTGGTAGTTTATATAAACATTGGAAAATTATTTCATTGATATATTTTTTTATTATTCTTGTGGCAGATGTAAAGAATGCCTTCAGAGTTGAGACACCCAAGCAGTCCTTGACTTGTGCTGCTGAAACACCTGCTCAGAAATTCAACTGGGTTAGCATTCTTGACAAGACAATTCGTGGTGCTGTGGAGAGGAAGTAACATTTTTTTGTGTGTAAATACATATTTAAAAAAATAAGTTCATGCTAAATATGAAATTTAGTTAGTAAATCAACCTTTTTTTTTGGTCATCAATGTCTGAAGCTAGATTTTTGTTACCGGTACCGATACTAGTGCTTGTACATTGACAAGGGGGAAAAAATAGAGATTTAGTCAGTGTTTGTGCAGTCCCAACATTTTTTGTAAGGAAATTTCTTCTTCTTCTATAATTTGAGGGCCCATGATCAATGAATTGATCATTCTGGCTCCTATGTTTGCAGAGGGGTTCGCGATGTAACTGTGCATGGTTTTGAAGAGGATACTTCACTGGTTGCAAGGGCCACTCAGCGATGATATTAAGAATTGGGGTTGGAAAATAGGAGGCAATAGACACAAATGTATCAGGTGTACTCACCTCAACTGTTGCTTTTGGAAGCTTGTTCCAGTCCCTGATTGTCTTTGGCAGGACTGAGCAGTTCCTGTATCGGTACTATGTTCTTGCTGTTATGAGCCGGAACTGCCTGTCATGGCCTCGCCGCTGTCTAGTGGGGAGAGGGACTAATTTCAACTCCTATTTGTAAAAGTAAAGCGATGAGCAACTAGTATACTTTAGAAGAATAAAAGAAAGGGTGCACATGATAGTTAGTGTTTATTTGGTGTAAAAGATTGGTAACTATTCCTTTCATGTTAAATTATCTAACAAATGTATTATCTGGTGCCTTTCATGATTTCTCTACCAGTCAATGAAATGTAACATTTCATTTTTAAATACATCCATGATTATTTATTACAGTGTGCAAATGAAAACTTGGTGCTTTTTAATTTTATCATACTATTACAATTTTGACATGGGGAGAGGTGGGCACTTGTGCAGGGCCAATGTTAGGAGGGTGGGAGACTTTGGTCAAATTGAATTTTATGTGGACGCTGACGTTAAATCCCACAGCTGATAGGATGTTATGACATGTCAAGTCATATTGGGTCTTTTTAAAAATGAAACAGTTGGAATTGCCTTGAGCTGAATTATGTATCGTGGCCCAGTTTTGATAATCTCACGGTTGTCAAAAAATAATTCTGAAAAACACAAAGCTAATTGAATTATATGCTCTCAGGACTGCATAATATAAAAATAATATTTATTTTCAGGCGATAAGCAGGCATATAATTAAACAGAATGTGTAAGTTCTTATCAAATCAGCCTTAAGTAAAATCAAGATGGCATCCATGTTTAAGGTCACCAGAATTATTTCAATGTCAAAAACATGACAAAATATTGATAATAACACAAAATTATAATTTTAAAAAAAAAAATGTCTTGAGGTTTGACTGTAGGAACAAATTAGATGGAAGGTGGTCAGTGTCCCCAGTCTGGTCAGTGTCCCCAGTCTGGTCAGTGTCCCCAGTCTGGTCAGTGTCCCCAGTCTGGTCAGTGTCCCCAGTCTGGTCGGTGTCCCCAGTCTGGTCAGGATGGGGGCTTAGTTTTTGATGGGTTTGTTTTTTTCATGTTTTGTTAATGAACAATTTTTTAAATGACCAGCAATCAACACCTAGCCCAAGTATTGCGCCGTACAGGCGAGAAAAGGGTGTGATCAAAGGCCAAAGAGATATATTACTGACTACTTCAGATACATTGAGATGGTAAATTTGTCACATGACCCACAAAATTTAAACATGCAGTTGTGCTGTGCCATTTGACACACAACGTTTGACAGCCTGTTAACAAGTCAATCAATAGCTGTCACTTTGGCTTCAACAAATATATATCATCTTCACCAATTTTTCATCCCTGAGATTTTTGCCTCGGCCCACTTTGCATGTCTCGTGGAGAACTGGTCTGCCACTGCACACAGGTTGCGGAGCTCTGACATGACTCACCACAGCACTTCTCAAAGCCAGGTCAAAATCTGCACAGTACCAAACATTGCTCAAATTATCCAGAGTCATGTTAGGGGGTTGCTGAAAGCCAAAGTTGTCAACTTGCAGTTGCCGCAGCTTGAAAGGTTTCACTGCTCCTGGTGCATACTAGCCACAAGAATTATTCTATCCTGAACAGGGCCTTGCAAAGGGGGTGGGGAGAAGATGACCACCGGAGGCACCAAAATAGTAATTTAAAAGGGCATAGACATGTATCATTTATTGATGAAACGGGAGGAGTTGGGGGGGGGGGCATATTCAGGCTTCACCCTTGGTGCAGCTTTTTCTTGGCGTGGTCCTGTACTGAAAGACTCTTCAGGTGTCTGTCATTTCTTGTCTCTAGATTCATATTGAAACTGCCCCTTTATTTGCCTATTGCATCATTCTTTAAACATCTGTTTGATGTTCATTTCTGGTGCAGTTTCTTTTGCAATTGTTATTATTGATGGAATACTTTCTTCTATGTCCTTTGTGAAGAACGGGTAGATGTTGCCCATGTGTAATGTCTATATTGCATAGTCAAGGACTTCAAGCTATTGACTTTGGAGAAATATTACTGGAATCAGAGACTTATTTTGTACCTCTGAATATTACATTGACTGGAAATTATGAGTAGGCATAGCCTGGCTACATTAATATGTAATATGAAAAGGCTGTGTGCGGGGCCCCCTCAAGCACAGGGCATTGGGCAGTAGCTCCATTGGCCACCCCCATAGCACTGAATTTGTGCGGCGGCAATGGTAAGGCATCAGGGTGATGCTGATGCCTCCTGATATTTTCATGCTTGAGTTAGTTAGCTGAGACACATAAAAAGATATGTCATGAACTTGTCACACTATTGTCATTTACTGCAGAAAGATATCATGCAGTCATTATGATATCAAGCTGAATGTCCAATCTGATATCTTTGTGCTGATCAAATACGTTTGTGAATTGTTCATTTTCATCTTGAACTAAGTTGAACAGCTGAGAATAAAGCAGGTGGTGGGATTGTTATGGTTAAAACAGGTTTCGGCATACAGATAATATAAAGTAAGTTATTTTTAAGTTATACCGTTATTCATAATTTATAAAGCTATAGGAACAAAGCTAGACTAGTTTTCATTTTCCAAAGTCTTATTTGGTGCTTCCATAAAACAGCAGATTCCTATGTCCAAAAATCACAAACGATTCAACTGCTCAATTGTGTGTACAGGTTAGAATGAGCACTGACAACTTTGCTTTAGCTTTGAATGAACCCTTGAGAGACAGCTCCCTCTTGGAAGTGACATCAATGAAGTTATGTCATCCACGTTTGGTTCTTGACTTAAAACAAGAGCTGCCTGCATCACACCAAAGTTCTGTATGGCTGAGGGGCTGTTATAGGAGGGAACTATTTTATATGAGGGAACTCTGTTATAGTAGGGGAACTCTGTTGTAGGAGGGGGATCTCTGTATAGGAGCGGAACTCTGTTATAGAAATGTTAATTAATGGCTATTTTCAATGCATGCAATTTTGTGGATTTAACCAGGACTCGAGGCCATTGAATATTACTCGTGGTCATTGAATATTAGTTCAATGTTAGAATGAAGGCCTCCATATGGGCAGATATAACTGTTCTCATAGTTTCACAATGTCACAGAGTCGTAGCGAGGGTGTTTGGCGCCCGGGGACAAGATTCGCGCCCGGGGACAAGATCCATTTTAAAGCGCCCCCTTTTCTTTTTTTTCAACTCTCAAACCCATTATTTTTACCAATAATATAATATCAAAGCACATTTTGGCGCCCCTAACTAGCTTGCGCCCGGGGACATCTGTCCCCCCCTGCCCCCCCTCGCTACGCCTCTGCAATGTCAAAACAAGGTTGTTTACAAGATTTCAAATGATATCTGCAAGATGTCAAGTGACATCTTTACATGTGCTGGTATGATCAACACAACATAAGATATCCATCCTTATAATGTCATGTTCAAGTCAAAATTTTTCCCTTTTCTAAAAATTTTAACTCATTTGATGTTTTTTTTTTTATGATAGTACTCAAAGCTGTCAAAATAATTAGTAATTTAAAAAAACTGATTTTATCATAGCTTTAAAAGTAGTATATTTACCATTTTATGTAAATGATGTTCTTAATATGGATGACACAAAATAATTACTTGATCACATTACTTTTCAGCTGTGCAGATTTGTTATGTTAGCATGTTCCCTTCAATTTTGTTAAAGTATCTCAAAAAGCTGTAAAATGCATTGTCACTATCAAAATAATTACATCAAATTTATCAGAGAAAAGTTTCACTATTAATGTGGATTCATTGGATGGTTTTTACTACACTTTAGACAGAGGTCTTTCACTTTGTGCATCTCTAAAAAAAATAATACCTGATAATATCTTATTCCTGCAATACCCCATAACAGCATTTCCCTGTGAATCAAATCAACTGATGGTGCAACAATCAAAATTAAATTAATTTAAAGTTCCAGTAGCTAATTTAAAAAAAAAAAATTTGGTGTTGACAGCAGGGCTATGAAGAGGAGAAAAAAATAAGGGGGGGGGGGGGGAGATTGGGACACCTGCCTCAGTCTCCATATTCATAGGCTCCAAAATCAAAATTTTCATGCAATCTATTTATTAATATATACATTTTTGGGAAGAGAGCACTTAAATTCAGGCTCTGAACCGGTTGGCTCTGAACCAGTTGTAGCTTTTGCTTGCCATGGCCCTGGTCAAAATTATGGCTAACACTTTACAAATATGTCTAGTTTATTCATATCGGTTTCCTTTCCACCATAACTGAGTTAGTTTATTTTGTTGTAACAATGCTGTGTTTTAAACAAAAAAATGGCCTTATTTTCTGCATTGTTAGCTCATTCCCTTCTTAACTCTTTATACCACAGTGTGAGATGAAGCTTTTAGTTGTTTTTTTCCATGACCAGGATGTATTTCAAATAATTTTTTTTTTCAATTCTTCCATTGTGTTTAAGTATTCTCTTCCTGTATGTTTTTAACAGTACATTGGCCTGCATTTTGCCATTCGTTCACATGTTCACCCAAAGCTTCCAACATGATATTAATGACATGTGGAGTTTTGTGCTCATCATCCTATCATTTATTTTCTTTCATACTTCTGTGATATTTTTGTGATGCCTTACAAATTCAATAATATTTACACCTCACTTTTGCGGTACATATAAATTGAATCTATACATATCCAAAATTTACTTTATTTATATTAATGCCTATCATTCACAGGATTTGTATCTATATAGTTCATTATAATTATTTATCATGAAATAGTCAAATTTACATGAACAATAATATATTACTTGTTCCAATAATTCTATAAATAAACTCAGTTGACCTCATCATTATAAATAATATATTAGCACACAAATTTATTTTCAAATTCTTTTTATTAACTTCGCTTTTGTTCTTCGCTGTCAAAATCTGCGGACGGCTAACTGACCCACTTCCCGTCAGCCTACTGAGCTGAAACTTGGCCAATGACATCACATTCTATCAAAGTTTCAGCCCCAATCCCCAAAAATTAGTTTTTCCTGTTTTTCAAGGGGAAGATGAAGGAAATATGAAATAAACTCCCAGATAACGGGGCTAAATGACAGTCTTTAAAAAAATGGCAAGTGCATTTGGTGCATGATATTTTCTTTTGATTTTTCTGAAATAGTTGGTGAAAAATATCTGTGGTTTTAAAAGCGGGCGTATCATTAGAATAGTAATATAGTTCAGGGGTGTAAAAAAAACGTGCAGATGCGTTCCTTGAGGTGGGGAGCACTAATTGTAATTATTATAAAGGGATTTACTTGGTTGTATATTTTGCTAAATTTTCAGCCCCACCCCCATTGCTTGATATTACATTTTATAAAGGATTTAGATGAAAAAACTTTGTTTTTAAGGGTTGCTTAATTATGCGAATTGATATATGTTGTCCCCTTTTATCCACTGTTTAAAAATTTTATTTTCTTCAACAATTTTACTGTGCACAACAATTTTATTGTCTACTACAATTTTATTATCTACAGCAATTTTAAAAATAAAAATGGATTAGGAGGAATGTGCAAAATTCATCAAATACTTTTTACTGATAGGGAGAAAAAAATGAGATATGCTTCACATGTATTATATCTGTTATGTAACATCTGTTACAGTTTTATTAAACCTGTTAAAGATAAAAACAAAAAGAGATGGATTCTTTCTATCTTTGTCATATTGATGATAACCTCATTCTATCAATCAGAAAACAACATGACACAGGTGTTTTTTTCTCATCTGCATCCAGTCACCTAGTTTGTCTCGTGTATGAGCCATCCCTTAAGAGATAATTTTTTTTCCTGTATAAAATTATCAGGATATTTAAATGCAACCTACACAAACCTTATTACGCTTATTAAACACATGAAAGATATTTTTTAGGAAGAGTCATTAAGGAATTATTTACAAACAAATTTAAAAATGTCT